GCGCTGGGAATTGGAAGTCCGGGGTGCCACCCACCCTGCAAGGAGGAAAGGCCAAGGGGACCCTGCGCCCAGGCCCCCACCCCACCCCGGGCTTCGGGACCCGAGGACTAAATGAGAGCTGGGGGCAGGCTGGGGGACGGGAAGGAGTAGAGGGCTCGGAAGGAGCTTCTGCTTTCTGTCCTGTTGAAAAGGGATGAGATTAATAATAGCAGCAAGAACGGAAATGGGGAAAGGGGATTAGAGGCTAGAGGGAGGTGGAAGAGAAGGGGAAGAACCAAACTGCACAGTGTCACACCTGTTCCCGCTCCCCGGGGCGATTGTAAAGTGCACCTACCACAAACATGTACTGATAAAAATAAAGAAAACGAAGAGGGAGAAAGCTACCCGTGTCCGGCTTTAGAAGCAGTCGTCCTGTGTTCTTAAATTTTCCTCAGTGGCCTTAAATGCATTTGTACTACCTCACCTACTACTTTCAGTCGTGGGACAGGCATTTGGGGAAACAGAAAATCTAACTACATGTTATGGGAGTATTTGTAATAAAGGAAAACAGAATCTAGAAGTTCCAAAAGGAAAGTGGTTAATTAAACATCTAACATCACGTCATACCCATCTGTAAACCCATCAGTGGATTAATCCAGTGTCACACTTAAGAATAAGCTTACATTTAATGTAGTTTCATCGTGTATACACACACACAGAATTCACTGTCAACAGAGCTGAGTTGGAGAAATGCTTTTTCATGTCAAATAAGAAAATGCATAATATAGAATTTGTGGGGTATGACGTGTTCATCTGCAAGGCACATGCCTTGTAATCCCAGCATTCTGGAAGCTGAGTCAGGAGGATCGCCTCGGGTTCGAGATGGCCTGAACTACACAGTGTGTTCAAGGCCAGCCAGATCTATGTGGAGAGACCTTGTCTCAAAAAGAAGAAGAAAGAAGAAAGAAAAATGCTCTTTGTGCATAAGATGCACCAAAGTACTACTAGTGATTTTGGATAGCAGGAATATTGTTGATATTTCTTCTTTTTGTTCTTCCTTTGCATTTTTCTAATAAGCTGTCTTTCTTTTATTGCTTTTACGGTAGGAAAAAGTAGACAAAAATAGTGGGGGGAACAAAGCACACTTTTGCTTTTGCTGTGCAATTCAGGTTGGCCTTGAACTCACTCTGTAGCTCAGGCTGGCCTCAAACCTGCAGTGATCCTCCTGCCTCAGCCTCCCAAGTGCTGGGTTTGCCGGCTTGCACCACTATGCTTGGCCAAAAAGGACACTTTAATAGCAGTCCTGTCTCACGGTTCATGTATTTAAAACTAAATTATTGAACATAATCTATTGACCTAGCATAAAGTTGGCTACAGAAACAAGATGAAACAGTCTTTGCCCTAAAACGGTACCTTCTAGCCGGAGAGCTCAGATGTATACACAGAAAAGAGGGTATCTGTATGGCAGTACGTGATGGTTCCAGAGTCTGTGGGTGTAGATAAAAGCCCTGCTTTCCCCAACATATACCTAGAACTTAGATATTTTCAAGAGTATTTACATTCAGTGCCAGGCTATTTCCATCCATGCAGCTTTTTGAGCGCCAGCTTTCCCCAGCTGCAGGAAAGAGAGCCTTTCCTTTGGGGCCTGTATTTCAGCCGTAAGGTAGCAGCTGCTCCCCACACCTGCTATTCCTGTATTCTTCAGGGTTCCTTTTCTTTTTATCCGGCAACCCCTTATTCCTACAGCCCCGTTACGATGAACACATCCTTGTATGAAAAATTATCTGTTCACCTTGCTGTGAGGATCCTTTCTCCTGAAAACCCAGCCTGATCCTCCTGGCCCCTGTGCATTTTACAAATGTATGCGTGGGCCTCGGGTTCTCTTTATTTAATATAGTGTTTCTTCCAGGAGTGCTTCATCACAAACTTTCCCTGCGTGAGCAGTTCTCGGTCGCTGTTTTTAATGTTTGTTTTTATTAGTACATGCCTGCGGTGCGTGACCGCCACATTCATGGGCATTGGTGTTTGAATGGCTCTAGGACCCTCCAAGGGCCATGCTTGGTATGTGTTAGGTGAGCATGGTTTCCACCACACTACAGACACCGCCTGTCCTTGCTCCGTCATGGCACTGAGGCTTTTGGCTTTAAGGTGAGAACTGGTTTCAGATCCGAGCTCTGCCCCTTGCTTGCTGTGATACATTAACACATTTTTACCCTTCCTAAGCTTGAGGGATGTGCAGTGACAGATAAATCCTTAGTACAATGCTGGGAACTTTTCCAATGGTTAATAGCTCCTAGCTGTTATCACGTCTCCTTAGTTGCATATCTTTTGAGAGGGTTCTGTATAAACACTTGAAGTTTTTTTTTCATTGTGCAAGATTATTTTTAGAGGGCTTCAGAAGTGGAATTGTGCATAAAGTTTCCTGGGGCTGCTGACCAGGCCACCCTGCCGCTTCCCAAATCGCTCTCCATCCATCAGACCCCTGTAGACGCTGTTCCCTGACGGGCCTCACAGAGCCAGGCTGGACGCCTCTACCGGGTGACCCTGGCCTGCTCTTCCCTTCCGTTTTCCACCGTATTTCCAGCCAGCCGCTTGCTTAGACCTTGCTGAATTCGTGGGCCAGTGGAGGTGGGATGAAGACCTCTGGGGTCAGGTGAGGTACTGTGCAGGGGCCAGAGCACTGATTCTAGATCCAGCCGTTTCTAGTCAGACTGTGCTCGAATCCCGGCTCTGCCACCTGTTAGGCTGAGTCTTTTCATCGATAAAACGGGGATGATAGTAACCTCTTCTTCTTCTCATGTAGACCACCTGCTAATAGATGTAGACCACTCGTGCCTGGCATGTATTAGGTGCTCAGTAAACAGTGGTTACAGTTGGCTAAATTAGTCATCATTGGATTTGCCAAGTAACAGAAAAATCCAAAATAAGCTTAAATGTTCTCTGTAAGACTTCTACAGGTGACATCGTGACTTCTATGGAGATGTCCCCCTGAAGCCTCACGTGCTCATAGGGAGGGCTTTTAGGAGGTGACTGGCTCGTGGGTGTGGATTAGTCCACTGGTGGGTCTGTAGCTGGGTGTGACGCTGGGAGGGGAAGCCTGTGGGAAGAGGTGGGTCACTGGGCATGGCCTGGAGATAGAGGCGTCCCTCCCGTTGTACCTTGAGTGCTTCCTGCTTCCTGCCTGCCACGCCCTTAACTCTTTCCCCTCTGTAGTGCTCCCCTGCCTGGAGCCTGCCAGCCATGGACTGAACCCTCTGTAAACTGTTAGACAAATAAACCTTTTCCTTCAGCTTGTGGCTGTCAAGCACCTGTTTTGTTCCAGCAACAACTAGGTAACTAAGACAGTCATTAGATGGTTTTCCTTAGCACACATATCCAGAAGCTTCTTTTTGTTGCCCTGCCACGCCTGACTTCCATTCCCAGAATATGGAATGACCCAGATGGCTTC